CTCACTTACTTATTGTGCGGTCTAATGCCGTCCAGTAAAACCAGATCTAATTCTGTGTAGGACTTTGTTCACTCACACTAGAAACCAGACATTAAAGATTTAGAAACCTTAAATATATCAAAATACATATTAGTATCTTCATGGTTAAATAGGGTGGTATTCCCTTTTTAACTTGACGTGTTGATTGGTCAAGGAGAACTTGAAACACAGTTATATAATATGGAAATATTGCATTATGAACAGATTTATACATGGGGGGGGGGGTTTACATTGTCTTTGTTCCTATCTTTAGTGGTAATTCTGGGTCAGACAACCAATATTATATTATATATAGTCAAACTTGTCATCACCGCTTTCCTCTCCTTGTATTTTGAAATACCCTAAACGGAGTTAGGAAAATGCATTTGTCAGGTCTGGGTTGACAAACAGCAAAAAACAAATTGTTCTCGTCAAAGTTACTACAAGGAATTTTCTTTTTCCTGTCATTCTTGGCGGTCCCTGTGGACGAAAGCGGTAGTGTTTTTGAGCACCAGATTCCATTCAGACAACCTCTTATTCTACTGCAGCAGGGGTCTGACCGTCCTGGTTCTGGTTCTCCCGTGCCTCTCTTTCCCTCCAGCGGGCCCAGCAATACGTCCCGGGTCTCCAGCAGCGTGGTGTCTCTGGTGTTAGCTCCCAGTGGGGACTGGCAGAGCAGCGAAGCTCAGCTCCTGGCCGGAGGAGGAGGAGACACTGCTGCCGGGCATGAAGCTCTCCTCCCCCTGCCGGAGCTTACGAGCGCAGGTCGAAGGCTGCAGCGAAGCCCGATCTAGGTCTGTCCTCGGTGGGCTGGTCCCCGGTGAAGGGCCCCAATGGAGTCTGAGCTGAAGGAGTTCCTGGTGAAGCTGCATGACCACAGAATCCGACCAGGTGGCACCGATGACAAGCATTAGGAATAACTATATAGAAACGGACAATCTTCTCGCTGGTCTCTTTAACTTATGAAGGTCATATAGAGGAATCAGTATTAAATTCACAGTAAGTTAGATGGATGGCACTAGAAATAACAAGATTGTCTCTGTTTCTCTGCTATTTACATGTGGATTTATTAAGATATTAGGAGAAGACTTAGTGTCTGTTTGTTGTCCATATTTGCAATTTCAAGTCAAGGCATCTTCTTGGCTCTGATTTGTTGACTCGCACCTGTTTTATCTTCTGCTTACAAATACAAAAGACAACTACTGCCATATTAATCAAAAGTTTGAAAGCATCATATACTATTTGCCTTTGTGGATACAATTCAAATATGTAGTCAGTGTGAAGTGCATTCACAGGTCCTAAACTATCATTACGTAACATACTGGTTCTGCCTCAGTAATCACATATTTAATGCTCATTATTCATATCCTCCAAAATGTAACTAAAAAAATGTCACATACGGCCAACAATGTTTAGAGAGACATTACAGAGCTGGTGAATGTTGTCACATCCTGCCAGAGAACTGTGCATCACTGGAGGAGACCAGGAATAACTCCAAACCACATGTTTGTGCCTTCACTACAGACGTGTTGCTCTCTGAGATTGTTCCATGTGGGATGATGATTTTAAATGCTCGCCCTGAAACTCTTCTCTGAGTCTGTCAACTGTCTCCTGGAGCTTTCTTATGAAAACTTCTGGGGACTTTGAAGCATTTTACCCATGTAAGGTCAAGCATGCATTAATTAAATGAAAACCCATCTCCAGCTAATTCTATTCTTTTTATACGCAGGTTCAAAGAAGCCTATTTAATGACAGGTTTTCTTAATAAAAGGGATGTAAAAGATGCTTAACCGGTTATATCAAGGAAGTCTTGATTTAAAATGAATAAATGTAGAATTTAAAAAACAATCTAAGTGTAGTTTATGTTCTCATACATTTCCCTTCCATGACCAAACTAGTTGCAGTCACAAAAACGTGAATGAATATCCAGGAATCTATTTAATATCAGTACAAACACAAAGCAGAACTCAAAAACCTATTGATCAGCAGCTCAAATAGCAACTATGCATGAAAGGATTTAGTGAGCAGGAAGCTATGCTTGAGCTTTTCAGCTTGTTTTTTCCAAATAAAGAAACATAAACGTGTGAAAAAGTGTTTGCCCCCTTTCTGATTTCTTATTTTTTTGCATGTTTGTCACACTTAAATGTTTCAGATCATCAAACAAATTTAAATATTAGACAAAGATAACACAAGTAAACACAAAATGCAGTTTTTAAATGAAGGTTTTTATTATTAAGGGGGGAAAAAATCCAAACCTACATGGCCCTGTGTGAAAAAGTGATTGCCCCCCCCTGTTAAAACATAAATTAACTGTGGTTTATCACATCTTTGGAAAGCTGAGTTCAATTTCTCTAGCCACACCCAGGCCTGATTACTGCCACACCTGTTCTCAATCAAGAAATCACTTAAATAGGACCTGCCTGACAAAGTGAGGTAGACCAAAAGATCCTCAAAAGCTAGACATCATGCTGCGATCCAAAGAAATTCAGGAACAAATGAGAAACAAACTAATTGAGATCTATCAGTCTGGAAAAGGTTACAAAGCCATTTCTAAAGCTTTGGGACTCCAGCGAACCACAGTGAGAGCCATTATCCACAAATGGCAAAAACATGGAACAGTGGTGAACCTTCCCAGGAGTGGCCGGCCGACCAAAATTACCCCAAGAGCGCAGCGACGACTCATCCAAGAGGTCACAAAAGACCCCAGAACAACATCCAAAGAACTGCAGGCCTCACTTGCCTCAATTAAGGTCAGTGTTCATGACTCCACCAGAAGAAAGAGACTGGGCAAAAATGGCCTGCATGGCAGAGTTCCAAGACGAAAACCACTGCTGAGCAAAAAGAACATAAAGGCTCGTCTCAGTTTTGCCAGAAAACATCTTGATGATCCCCAAGACTTTTGGGAAAATACTCTGTGGACTGACGAGACAAAAGTTGAACTTTTTGGAAGGTGTATGTCCCATTACATCTGGCGTAAAAGTAACACGGCATTTCAGAAAAGGAACATCATACCAACAGTAAAATATGGTGGTGGTAGTGTGATGGTCTGGGGCTGTTTTGCTGCTTCAGGACCTGGAAGACTTGCTGTGGTAAATGGAACCATGAATTCTGTTGTCTACCAACAAATCCTGAAGGAGAATGTCCGGCCATCTGTTCGTGACCTCAAGCTGAAGCGCACTTGGGTTCTGCAGCAGGACAATGATCCAAAACACACCAGCAAGTCCACCTCTGAATGGCTTAAGAAAAACAAAATGAAGACTTTGGAGTGGCCTAGTCAAAGTCCCGACCTGAATCCGATTGAGATGCTGTGGCATGACCTTAAAAAGGCGGTTAATGCTCGAAAACCCTCCAATGTGGCTGAATTACAACAATTCTGCAAAGATGAGTGGGCCAAAATTCCTCTACAGCGCTGTAAAAGACTCATTGCCAGTTATCGCAAACGCTTGATTGCAGTTGTTGCTGCTAAGGGTGGCCCAACCAGTTATTAGGTTTAGGGGGCAATCACTTTTTCACACAGGGCCATGTAGGTTTGGATTTGTTTTCCCCCTTAATAATAAAAACCTTCATTTAAAAACTGCATTTTGTGTTTACTTGTGTTATCTTTGTCTAATATTTAAATTTGTTTGATGATCTGAAACATTTAAGTGTGACAAACATGCAAAAAAAATAAGAAATCAGGAAGGGGGCAAACACTTTTCACACAACTGTACCTGCACAAAAATGAATTTGATCAATTATGACGTGAAGCAGATTAATAGTTTTAAAAGATTCATCTTGTGTAAATCCAGTGTGTTGAATCTTCAATGCATTAAATCTTTACATTCAGTCAGTGCAACAAATAACGAAGAAGTGTCAAGAATGTGGTTCATTTGTGTTACTGTAAAAACAAAATATAAGTATGTGTCATAGTATTCACAAAGTTGCGCTTCCTGATTACAAGGACACAATATAATTATAAATGGAAATTCTGTAAATATCTTTAATGTGTTGAAGGACAGAGAAGTAGTATTTTAATTATTCAGTAAAGAACAGGAAGGCACACCAGTATTAATATTCATGTTAAAACGTTGTGTTGACTTGTAAAAGTGAAGTACATTATAAACCGAGTATCAATGTGTGCTTAATGACAGTTTTTCAGTTTTTAACCACAGAAAATAATATTTAACTTGACAAGAAAAAGGACAGCTACGTTTCCTTTGGTCATTGCGGTGGAATAGTGTTATGATACAATAAATTAATAGGCATTCGTTCATTCATTAGTGATTTATGTAAACTGTATATGTTTGCAGATGGAAAATCAGCATTTTGTGTTCATCTCTGCTGATCATAATTCCAAATACAGGGTCTGTTTACACAACATTTCTGATACAGACAAACATGTCAATTCGAGATTAAATAAAAGAAAAAACTTTAAAAACTCTTTTCAATTACATCCCTCTGTCATATTGTGCAGCTATTTACTATGCAAAAAATTTATTAAGATTCGGTTTCTTCGTATTTTTATATTGATTCCGATCATCTTTTCCTTCTGTAAATCATAATATGTGTGTTTACATAAGGTAGTATCGACCAATTTCAACCAATAATATCATGATATCCATCCATCCATCTGCAACTATTAATGACAAGGGAGGTTTGTGTGCAGCGCTACAGTCTAAGCCCGCCCACTTTTCAGCCGTAAATACAAAGGATTAGATTCAACTTCCTGTTGTAACTGTACACCGCTCATAAATTAAGTTTCACTGGGGAATAGGTCACAGCACAAAAGATAAAGACGTTCTAACTTCGGTTTCACTCAGAATGTAACTAATACTTACTCATGTTGTGTTATGTGTGAGTCCTGCACAGGGAAAATGGATAGCCGATTTGATTAATACGTGTTTTAACTTTCAACTGATTTGCATATGTTGTGACGTGTTGGTTTATGTCAGTTAGTAGATTCATATTCACAAAATGCCCTGCTGTTCTTTTTTTTCTGACAGCTATAAAGGACAGTAAACAGGAAGAGGCTGACAGTGATGCTGCTACTCCATCGAAACAACCTCCAGAGGACACCTCAATAGATGCAGCTCCCTCCGCCCAGCCTGCATCTGAGCCAGCCCCACCACCGAGCCACGCTCAAGGAAAAGAGCCAATCAAACGTGGTGTGCCTGATCAGCAATTAGATCCCTCTATACCACCCAAAGCAGCAAAATCTAGTCCGTCTCCAGCTACTCCATCCACCTCAGCTCCCAGACATCATGAAACAGGCGCTCTTATGGTCACTAAGACCACATACGTCATACCGAAGAAGCAGCCTGCACCGCAGCCTTCGTCCAGCCACGTGTCATCCTCGGCATCAGGCCAGAAGCCTTCGTCAGCCCCCACGCTGCTGAACGAAACCAGAAATCTGCTGGTGCCACCTGCACCAAGTGCTCCCTCCTCCAGGCCCTCTCAGCCCAATAACCAGATCAGACAGAGCATCCAGCGCTCCCTCTCCAGCATCCTGTCTAAAAGGTGAAAGCTGTCTTTTTATTTACACATAATACACTCTCTTGATGGATCTGATTTGTAAATTGAAAATGAGCACTATGAATAGTTAATGAAAAGTGATGATGGCAGGAGCCAAAATAGTGAATTCTAATAGTTTTAATGAGTAACTGCACACTTAAACTTGTTTTTTAAGCGATAAGCTAAAAGATATGATCCTGCTGTGATGAAACATATAAAAAACAATGCATGTCATGGTTGAAAATTGCCAATTGCCAATTGCAAATTGCCAATCAAATTCAGTGCCCCATGCCTTATTTCTATTTTCGAAGCTGCTGTGGCTGTCATATTTGTTGACGTTACTTCATATGGAAGTGGGTGTGGTTATCTGACATGACATGATAGACTCCAGGAATAACTTCTTTTGCAACAATTAAACTGTAAAGATCGCATCTTGATTTGTTAGACCAGTGATGCACAACAAATTCATCGACTAACTGCCTTTTTGTTTGTCAAGGTTGTCTGATTGTGACGATTTGGAGATGTCTGAGAGTGAAATCGCAAAGCTTGTCGCGGGCATTGAGATGGAGATGTTCGACATATTTCGCAACACAGACAGCAAATACATGAACAAGTACAGAACTATAATGTTCAACCTGAAAGACCCAAGAAACAAGGTTTGTTTGAAGTTGTCCTGCGGCCTTCCTTACTTTACATTTAAATACTACTCGCAACAATGCAGAAATTGTACAAGTTATTTAACTAATCTCATAGATAATTGTGTTTTAAGCAAACTGACAGTCCAGCTATGGGTTCTCTCTAGGGTTTGTTGTGTCGGGTTGTACGTGGAGAGATCAGTCCCTTCAGACTGGCTAGGATGAGCCAGAAGGATATGCAGGCTACCAAAGCATCAGAGCCAAGTGCAAAAGAAGCAACAGAGGTAAAGTGTAATAGATGTAAAATACAACTACCAACACAAAATCAGATATTATGCTTGAACTTGAAGGTTGAAGCAGTGTTTGTTCTAGAGGTGATAATCTTTTTCCATGGTGTATCTAGGTTAAGGATGCTGCTGCTAAATCGACAAGTTTGCTGCAGAAGCCTGAAGCAGTGAAGGTTGATTTGCCCAGTTTGAATCCTGCTAGACCCAATAGAAGCACGGTGGGTACTTGTTTCATTTGCATTCAATTGGTGTAATATAACAATTTTGTATGATCATTATTTTCTCTCTCCTGCTTCACATAAAGATTTCCCATGAAAGGCCATGGATGTTATGATACCATTGTGGGTTAATTCTGTGTGTGTATTTGTGTCTGTATAGGTTGCTTTCCAGGAACAAAAGAAATCTCTTCCTGCTCCTGCGCTCAAGACCAGAACAAGCCAGCCAAGCCAGGGAAGTGCTATACCAGATATTCTCACCTGTATGCTGAAGGACACAACATCGGAGCACAAAGCTCACCTCTTTGACCTGAAATGCAAGATATGCACAGGTGATTTGAAAAATATGTTTTAAAATAGCTGTGCAATAGACATTAGTATCCAGTTGCCAACTATTGTTACCCCTAGTTTTTTTTAATAGATTCTTATTTCTTCCCAAAGGCCAAATGCTAGTTGGGGAGGAAGAGGAACCCACAAAGAAAAAACCTAAGCTTTCTGAAACAAGAAATAAATACGAACCCCTTTGGAGAAAGACTGCGGGAGATGACTCCCCTCTGCGGGCGCCACCTGACTCACCTGACATGGATTCGCCAACATCGTCCCTAATTGACCCTTCATCCCACCTTATCATTGACGCTCCACCATTAACTATTGTAGAATCCCCTGCTTCCCCAATAATGGACTCTCCAGCCTCCCCTACTTTAGACTCCCCTGCTTCCCCTGTCATGGAGTCCCCCGCATCACCAACGCCAGACACTCCTAAAACTACTATACGAAAGAGAGCATACACACCCGTTGTGATCCCTGCTGTCTCCACAGTAACTATCACAAGGCGTGACCCCCGCACTGCAGCAAGCAGGTTCTCTGCTTTGTCTAGTGGCACTTCTGGTCCCAGTAACACGGCCCGTCACCAATCAGTCCCTTATGCCCCTCTTAAAGAGACTATCTCTGCATCTCCCTCAGCACCAGCCCTCTCTCCGCGACCCACGAGACCATTACCTAAATCTATCTTAATGAAGCCATCTTCCTCTGTGGATGCCAGACTCTATGGCACATCTTCAAGGTATAAGAACTGTAGAATAGAATAACAATGTTATTCTGTTTTAAGTGGTATACATTTGTGCATAATGTGTGGATATGATTGTCATTGTGCTGTCGTGTTTTGTGTCTCAGGACCGTGATCTCTGAATCCCCAGCTGAGGGTGAGACTTCTCAGTTCTTGGCCAAGCAAGACATCATGTGGAAAGGCTTCCTAAACATGCTCTCTGTGGCCAAGTTTGTCACCAAGGGATATCTGATTTCAGGACCTGCTGAAAACCTCAAAATGGTATAGTACCGCACAATAATAACTTTTATTGTATCAAAAAGATCTGTCATTGAATTGACTAAGATATGAAAATGTTCTTTCTCTTGTGTGTAGGATCTACCTGATACCATACAAATTGGAGGACGAATCCTGCCTCAAACAGTGTGGGACTATGTTGCAAAACTAAAGAGCTCTCTTACAAAGGCAAGCAGTAGATTTAGTATTTCTTTATGTGTCTTGTACAATAATATCGGACATCTAATCAATATTTTACATTGTTTTTTGCTTATTAGGAGCTATGTGTGATCCGTTTTCACCCTGCAACAGAGGAGGAAGAGGTGGCCTATGTCTCCCTGTTTTCCTATTTCAGCAGCAGAGGACGTTATGGTGTGGTCGCCAATGGCAGCCGTTCCATCAAGGATGTATACCTTGTCCCACTCAGTGCAAAGGAATCAATCCCATCCATGCTACAACCTTTTGACGGACCAGGTGTGCTAATGATTTGACTACCGCTTATAGTCTTTTATGATAGATTTATGCATTATTGGGCCTGGGCGAGTATCTATGTCAACACCTCCAAGGCCCAAGAATAACCACTGCAAATTCTCACCAAATTATTTTATCCCGTTTTATTAATTTGGATTGGTTTAAGGGGTCAGAGTGAGGGAGGAAGACGGGGGAGTTGTTTCATCTACTGGAATAAAATAGACAAATGTTATCCCAGTCCTGGGCCACATAGGTTTAAGCACATTTGTCTGAGCCACCATAAGTTCTTGAGAACTTAGTTTTAATAAAAAATGTGCACCCTCTTTTGGTCTAAATAAGGGGCTATCTTGCAGGATGGGCACAAGTCGTTTTATCTCTAAGAAAAGATATATAATGAAAACCCTAATATTTTTTTATCAACAACCCGTAGCATATGAGCATATTGCCAGAATGCATCCAGTTTTTACTCTAGCAAACAGCTGACAGTACAGACACCAGCTAGTAGAGGTGTTTACCAAGAAACAGTTTTATTTTATAAATTTGTCAATTATGAGTTTATGGTTCGTTTTGGTGTCAGCTGAGCATGTTGACGGTCTGTCATCTTAATTATTATTGGTTCTGAGTTTCTGTAATTATTGATAAATCAATTAGTGGTCCCAACCCATATATTTTGTGTATCTAAATAATTATCTAACCTTTCTGACAATACTTGCCAGTCAAGCATTTAGACAAAAGGGAATTATCATTGTTTAATTTAGACTTGTTCTAATTATTTATTTATTTATTTCACAGGGCTTGAAAAAAACAGGCCCAATCTTCTCCTGGGTCTGGCAGTCATCCAGAAGTCGAAACGTCCTGGAAGCTTGCCTCAGGAAATTGAAGAGAAGAGACCAAAAGTTCATATGTCCAAAGACCCTATGTGGATTCCAAAACCCCCAGTCCTCTATGGTTCTGACAAATTGGAAATATTCCAACCATACGATCCAGAGACTCCTGCTAGCACCACACCTCCTGGCACACCACCTTGCACTGGGTCACCATCGGACTCTTCCTCTTCTGGCTCAGTGACCATGCCACCTTGTTTGACTTCCATTAGAGCACACCCTCCTGTTTCTACCTCAGCTGCTGTTGCTGCCACTCAGTCCACCATCTCTGACAAGAATCCCTCAACAACATCCAGTAATAAGACACCGTTGCAGACTATCTTAAAGAGTTTGTTTGGCAATAATGACTCCGTGGTCTCTTCTGACAGAAGTTCTACAACAACAAAAACAGTTACTGTTAAGAAGGTCCCATTGTTTTCTCAGGTGTCTGGATCAATGGTGGATCCAATTGTCCAACAGTATGGACAGAAATCCAAAGTAAAAAAACTGGAAGAAGAAGAACAAAATGAATTTGACCGACCATATGACCCAGAAGAAGAGTATGATCCAGCAATGGGATATGGACAGGTTGCCCCTAAGAGCATAGAAACAATTACGGCAGATGGCCCAGCAATATCAGGCTTTGTAGATGATGGTGTGGCCTATGATCCAGAGGACGAGACCATCTTTGCAGATATTCAAAGTGATGTTGTAACAAAGCCACCTGTTCCAACTCAAACGTCAGATTCTCCATCATGCCCAACCACAATTTCTACCCAGATTGTAACGCCAACTCCAGCACAAACCTCCACCCCAGCTGAAGTAATTCAGAACATTCCTACAGGCACTGTGGTTGTCTCAGCTGCAACACTAACTGAACAACAGCGGATGCTCGAGGAGCTGAATAAGCAGATTGAAGAGCAAAAACGCCAGTTGAAGGAGCAGGAAGAAGCACTACGTCAACAGAGAGAGGCTGTGGGTCTGTTCATGGCTCACTTTTCTGTTTCTGATTCCCTGATGTCTCCCCCACAAAAATCTTTGCCTCTCAGTCAACTGTCAGGATCAACAGACAAGACCAGCAACCTTACAGAGACTGTGGACAGTTCAAATGTGGATTCACAAACTGTCAAGCTAGAAGACTCAACTGCCATCCCTAATTTAGAAAATGATACAGATACTGTTACAGAGCAAGATGAAACACAGGACAATGTTAAGGAAAATGACAATTATTCCTCTGCTGGAGAGATTGAAGATTCCGATGTAGCTTATGATCCTGAGGATGAAACACTTTTTAATGAAATGCAAGATGATGTATTTCAAGGAGGCAGTTCAAAGACTTGTGATTCATCTTTGTCTAGATCAGGACATAGTTCCGGCCGCAAGGGCACTCCCAACTCATACCACAGCAGAAAGCGAAGGCTATCACCAAAGAAGCGAAGTCATCGTGAAAGAGACAGCCATAGAAGTCCTTCAACAAGATCACAGCAGCGTTCTCCTTCACATTCCCGGAGACGTAGGGAAAGGGATAGACACAGAAGAACTGAAAGGGAAAGGTCAAGGCATAGAGCTAGAGAGCAGTCTGAACGCCAGGGTCGGCACCGTAAAGAGCATACTACACGCCGACATTCTCATGGCCATAGAAGATCCCCATCATCTCCTAGAAAAAAAGATTCAGGGTCCCTTTCACCAAGGCAGAGCAGAGGACCTTCCCCACAAGTCCTTGAGAAATCAACTGCGTTAAATGTTCTATGTAATGCTCCAGACTCTTCAGACTCTGTTGTTGGACAACTTGCAGAGAGTAACAAATCATCATTTACCTCGGTTACTATTAAAAATGACCCTGATGGACATAAAAGTAATCTTGTCGAGAGCACTGTTAAAGGCTTTTCTCCCTGTTCAAATGAACTTCGTCACAATGTGAAGCTTGAAACTTCAGAACCACCACAATCCCAGGAGCCTCAAAAAACTTCAGTCAGTGGCCATGATGACACAGGTAGTGGTTCTTCTACACACGTCAATAAACCCTCTCAACAGGAGACTCTGTTTATGAACAAAATCGACAGTACAGTCCCTTTAAGAGAAATTGATCCACCCATTCGAGATTCTCCTCATAGCCCTGATCCAGAGCCCCAATTTGTGAAACCTAGCATCATAGAAAATAGTAACTCTGTAAAAATTGAGGAAATCAGAGATCCTTTGATGAATATCAGCGTCTCAACGCAACATGTTAAAGTTGAAAATAAGTATCTGCCTGATGGAGGTCAAACAACAATGTCCAATATGCTGTGGCCTTCTGTTGGAGGTCCAATATCAAATGTTAGAGATATTGTTTTGAGAGCCCTAAATCTTAAGGGCCCAGGTGTCAGAGAAAAGGATATGATAGAGGCAGACAAACAGATAGAAGGGGAAATTCCAGGTTTAAAGCATCAAGATGTTCTGCGTCAAGGGGGAGGACTTTCAAATCAAGCTACAGGCACAGATGTTCAGGGCTCAGGAACTGAAATAGACCCCATACGAAAGCATCCAGGACCTGGTAAGAGTGGTCCAGGTATCAGGAATGCAGGATTAGATGTGAAAGAACTTGGACATAGGACTCCACAGATGGATTGTAGAGAAACAGGAATTGGATTCCCAGGACCTGATATCAGACATCCAGGCATGCAAGGAATAAGTCCCAACATTTGGGGACCTGGATCACATACACGAGACCTATATAGTATGCAAGGTGTGAACCCAGAAGTAAAAGGCCCAGGCCCTGATATGGGACCCAGCGATACAGAAATGAGAGGGCAAATTCTTTTAACAGCTGTCACACAGGCTCCAGATATTATAGGAAGAGGTGGTGGCCAAAAAGATAGGGGTGAAAGTCCACATACTGGAGGTATGAGATCTGCTGTGAGGGCTGGTGGTGTAAGAGATCCAAGTCCAGATACAAGGAGACCAGGTCCATCATTTAGAGGTTCAGGAAGAGTTCAGAGGCAATCGAGGCATGATGGCAGTCCAGTTTTAGAGGAAAGGAGCCCTTCGAAAAGGTATTTTCAGGCTCATGGAAGAGATGCAGTCTTGAGCAGGACGGATGGTGTTCGAGAGAGGAGTTTAGATTCAAATGCAACTACAGGCTCAGAGGGTAGAGTTCTAAGAGCAATGACAGATGAAAGGTGGGCCCTACAAAGGGGGCAAGATGTACCCATGAGAGAACCAGGGCCAAACATAAAAAATGAAAGTGGTGGACAAGACAATAGTGGACCTAGAGAACAATTTAAGGAGCCACGGCCTGATATTAGGGCTGAAAGGAGTGTGCATGGCACTGACCGGAAAGAATCAGAAACTATGCATGAATTAAGAAGGCCAGAAAGAAGTTATATGCCGCCTGGTCAAGATATGGGTGGTGTGGGTAGCTCAGAAACAAGGGGTGGTGGCTTTCCAAACATTGCAAATCCAGATTGGCGAGGTCCAGTACCCGGTGTTGTTGGTCCTGATATGAGGGGCCAGAGGAGTCAAAATATAGGCCTGGGTCCACATATGAGGGGTCCAGATTGGAGTGGCCCAGGATCAGACACAAGAGATGATTGGAGAGGGCCAGATAGGAGAGGATCAGGTCCAGTCAAAGGGGAGCCATTTGAAGATGAACTGAAAATCCATCAGCCTGATAGAAGAGATGCTAAAGACCTAGCCTTTAGAGAACCAGGGTCTGAAATGAGTGGTCCAAACATGGAGGACCTCAGGCATGACAGGAGGAGAGTAAGAAGTGCGGATTTCATGGGACAAGAGCCTGAAAGGAGAGGTCCAACTAGGGGCAATTTAGGACCTGGTATGCAAGGACCAGGGGGTCCAGACTTTTTGGGACCAGGACTTGAAAGGAGAGGGCTAGCTATGGAGGGTCCAGGGCCTAACAATAGAGGACATGGGGGTCCACATTTCAGAGGACCAGGACCTGAGAGAAAAGGTCCAGCTATGGAGGGTCAAGGACCTGACATGAGAGTACTGGCAGGTCCAGATTTCAATGAATCATGGCCTGAAAGGAGAGGAACTGATATTGTTGGTCCAGGGCCTGAAAGGAGAGGTCCAGCTTTGGAGGGTCCTGGGCCTGGTCCAGATTTCAGTGAAGCGGGACCTGAAACAGGATGTTTATCTGTGGAGGGTCCTGGTCCTTACAGGAGAGCACCTGGAGTTCCAGATTTCAGGGGACTGGGCCCTGAAAGGAGAGGTAATGCTATGGATGGTATTGGGCCTGACAGGAGAGGACCTGGAGGTCCAGATTTCAGGGGACCAGGGCCTGAAAGCAGAGGCGTCTCCATGGAGGGTCCTAGGCCTGACAGGAGAGTACCTGAAAGTCCAGATTTCAGAGGACATGGGGCTGAAAGTGGAGGCTTTTCTATGGAGGGTCCTAGGCCTGAGAGGAGAGGACCTGGAGGTCCAGATTTCAGGGGTCCAGGGCCTGAAAGCAGAGGCTTATATATTGAGGGTCCTGGGCCTGACAGGAGACGACCTGGAGGTCCAGATTTCAGAGGACCAGGACCTGAAAGAAGAAGTCCAGCTATGGAGGGTCCAGGGCCTGTCAGAAGACGACCTGGGGGTCAATATTTAAGGGGACCAGGGCCTGAGAGGAGAGGTCCAGCTATCGAGGGTCCTGGGCCTGAAAGGAGAGGACCTGGAGTTCCAGATTTCAGGGGACCAGAGCCTGAGAGGAGAGGTCCAGCTATGGAGGGTGCAGGGCCTGAAAGGAGAGGTCCTGGAGGTCCAGATTTCAGGGGACCAGGGCCTGAGGGGAGAGGTCCAGCTATGGAGGCTCCAGGACCTAACAGGAGAGGACCTATAGGTCCAGATTTCAGAGGATCGCGGCCCGAGAGGAGAAGTTTATCTATGGAGCGTACTGGGCCTGATAGTAGAGAATCTGGGTGTCCAGATTTCAGAGGACCAGGACTTGAAAGTAGAGGTCCAGCTATGGAGGCCCCAGGACCTAACAGATCCACAGGTTCAGATTTCAGTGGACCAGGACCTGATAAAGAATGTCCTGCTATGGGTGGTTTCTGGCCTACCAGGGGAGAATCAGAAGTTCCAGATTTTAGTGGGCCAGGACATGAAAGGAGGGGTCCCACTATGGACAGTCAAGAACCAGACAGGAGAGGACCAGGAGGTCCTGGTTTCCAGGGACCAGGGCCTGACAGAAGAGATCTAGCTATGGATGGAATAGGGCCTGACAGAAGAGGACCAGGAGGTCCAGAATTTAGAGGGCCTGGGTATGAAAGTAGAGGCCCCTCTATGAAGGGTCAGGGACCTGACAGGAGAGGTCTCGGAAATCAAAACACTGATATACATGGTGCTGACAGGAGGGGGCCATATGTAAGAGGTCCAGGGACTGAGTTTACTGGAATGGGGCCTGAAAGAACTGGTCCAGGCATAGAGGGTCCAGGGCCTGATGGTAGAGGACAGAGAGGACCACACATCAGGGGTCTAGGGCCAGAAAGTGGACAACAAAATATTGAGGGCCCAGGGCCTGACAGGAGTGGTCCAGTTATCAGGGGACCAAGGCCGGAAGGACCTGGTTCCAATATGGAGGGTCCAGGGCCCAACAGGAGAGTGCCAGGAGGTCCAGACATGAGGAGACCAGGGCTTCAGTATTCAGGTACAAACAGAGAAAGCCCAGGAGCTGACAGGAGAGGTGCAGAAGGCCCACATTTTAGAGGGCCTGAGCCAGGAAGAAGACCTCCAAATGTGGAGGGCCCAGAGTCTGATTGGCGAGGTCCACACATCAGGGGGGTGAGGCCTGAAAGAACTGTTATGGATGGTCCAGGGCCTGCTGGGAAACATCCAAGAGGTCCAGATTTTAGAGGTCTAGGTTGTGAAAGTAGATGTCCAGACATTGAGGGCCCTGGGCCTGACAGACAAGAACCTGTAGGCTCAGGCTTCAGGGAGCCTGAGCCTGAAAGAAGAGGTCCGGACATGGAGGGCCTAGGACCAGAATGCAGAAGATCTGGTGGTCCAGAATTTAGAGGCCCAGGTATCAGACAAAAAGGTCCAAATTCAGAAGGTCTAAGGCAAAGAAGAGATGACTGGGGAGGGCCTGACTTTAGCGGGTCAGAACCTATCCAAGAGAGCCAAGATATTGCTGGCCAAGGAGCTGATAGAAGAGGACGACACTTGAGGGGTTCAAGGCCTATAAGGAGAGGCATTAGACGACCACGGCCAGATATAAGCAGTCTAAATCGGGGAGACCGATGGAAAGGGCCAGACTTTAGGGACTCTGCACTTGATAGGAGAGGCACAGACACAGAGGAACAATGGTCCGATGGAAGAGGGCCCAATATGGAGTCTGTAGGAAATGAAAGAGAATGCTCAGGAGATGATTGGAAAATACATGGCAACAGAGGTCCAGGCCCCATACAGGAAGGTCCCGGTGAGGAGGTTCAAGAACATAGTAGACAAAGTCCTTGTGGGGAATGGAGAGGCCCTGAAAGTAGAGGGCCAAGGTCCATACAGGAAAGACCAAATATGCCATTTCCAGGGTCTTTGAGAGTTCCAGGAGATGATTGGAGTGGTCCTGTTTGCAGGGGCCCAGGGCCTGTCCAGGGTGACCAAGAAATAGTTTGCCCAGGGCCTGGTAGGGGAGGACCTGGAAATGGATGGAGAGAGACAGAAAGAGGGGGTACTGGACCAAATAGAAGGGGGCGTGGACCATTTTTCAGTGGGGAAAGAGTTCCAGACAATCGAGGTCAAGGCTGTGATAGTAGAGGTCCAAATATGGGAGAACCAGGATCAGATATGAGAGGAGGGCATATTGAGAATGACTGGATGCAGCCAAATTTCAGGGGTAATATGAGAAGGCCAGACATGGAAGGACATGGGGCTCCACACTTGATGAATTCATGCCCAAACAGGAGAGATTTTGAAATGGAAGGTCTTGATAGAAGAGGCCCCAGAGGTCCAGATTCAAGACGTGCAGGGCCTGAAAACAGAATTTCAAACATTGACGGTCCTGGGACTGATGAAAGGTTTTCAGATTGTGGGGGATTAGGATCTGAAATGCAAGGTGTAGACGTGGAAATCCCTAGAACAGGTAGACAAGGATTTGAGCATGATTTTAGGAGGGGAAAAAGACGTCCAGATATGAGAAGGTTAGGGCCTGGTAAAACAGATAGTAGGGGAGCACCTTTAAGTTCAGATACAAGACATGGGCTTGGGAGGTGGGATACAAACACTGAGGGTCCTGGGTCTAATAGAAGATTTCCAGATATGGGCCCAAGGTTAGAATTTGAGCCAGCCATGAAGGATGACATGCAAGGGTCAAATATAAGGGGCCCAGGATGTGATAGCAGAGGGCCAGACATGACAGCATCACCTCATTTCAATAGTCCTCATCTAGTTGACAGATCCCAAGGCCCTAGGGATCCACATTCTGCAACATACAATGGACCCCTAGGTCAAACTCAGCATGCAGTAAAGCCCCAGAGACACAGAGCTGCCTTGCTTCCCACTCCAACTGAAGGTATCATACGCTATCCGAATCATATGATCAACAATTCTGATGTCCTTAGCCCGAAACGGAAAAAAATATGTCACCCAGCAGACAGGACGTGGAGTAAAGGTAGACCAGTGAGTCGAGAGCGAGAGTTGATCAAAGGGCAAAGACAGGAGCAGGAGAAAAGTCCTGCTGGTAAAATAAGCACAGCTGAAGATGAAAACAAAGGGGATGGAGAACAAAAAAAGGAAGTTGGCAATGAAATTGGTAAACAAGATACATGTGTAGAAATTAAAACCAATGAGAGTGTGGACAGTGATGGAAATAAAAGCAATGTCCAGTCAAGTTAGACACAGGCTAAAATCATAACGCATGGACCCCTCAGGACAGTAAGGCTGTCGAAACTAGACCTGCAAAAAGTGTCTTAGTGTCATCACATTGAATAGATACTACAGCATAACACACACTGAATGTAATTTTTCTTAAGGAAAGCGTTTGTCCATATTTCAAATTTCAAAAAGACCTACAGGCAAAGCCATGCGGAAAATCAGACATTGTAGCTTGATATGAAAATGCTCTGAGGTATTTGAATTTGTTTTAGTTTGTCTAGTATTCAAAGGAGATGCATTTGTTTTTTTTGTTTTTTTGTTTTTATTGGATTATGACTAAATGCTAAACTAAAATCAATCGATGTGCATTTCTAATTGGAAATGTTTTGTACAGAGAATGTACAGTTTGTTTTGTTTCTTTGATATTTAACATAGCCATAGTGTTAGTACAGTAGCCTTGATCTGGCTTTTATGTTATTCTGCTGATAATAAATGGCTTGTTTCATTGTTATTTTAGAATGTAAGAGGTCAATAAATTGATATACCTTTTTTAAAATTTGTATTAAGTCTGATTTTGTTTGTTTGGAATTGATCGATTGCTTCACAATAGTGCCTAAAGCGAAAAAACAAGTCCCCTGTTAATGTTCAAGCACCTTTTTGTTTGTGGTAATAAATCAAACTGTGGTTTATATTTTTTAGAGGTACAATCAAAAGTCTCCTTTACTGCTCACAAGGTCTGTGCATTATCTTGAGATAGCAGGTCATGATTTCTGGAAAGAGACATTGCTGTTGAGTTTTTCAAATGTATTTTTTGGGGGCTTTGAGGCACTGCAAGCCATATACTCCCAATATATGCGAGAAAAGGCCGACATCTCTATGGGCCATACTTTCAAAACCAAACAACCCATACCTAAACAATTTAGACTGATAAATAGCACTACAGGTTAGGAACACTGTATTTTTGATTTGGGGTGAACTGTTCCTTCAGGTAAAGTAAACATGCAGAAAAAATGTCCATGTCAGTGTTATTGAGTTTTAACACATGCATGTGTGCGTACATTTTATTTATTTAAACTATTTAGCTACTATATTTGGTAGGTTATATATATCCCAATGCAAAATACTTTATCAGATAATCATAAAATCAACTTTTATTTCAGACTCATGAGTCCATATAGTATCAAAAAAAACAAATACAACAACAATATTTGTATCATATTTGCCTGGAATGTAGTGAGTTAGAAATACAAAGTAGCATGAAATATGTATACTCTAGTACAAGTACAGTAATTTAGTAAACTTTCTACCATTGAATATAGAGATTTGAATGGTCAGTATTGTAAGACACAAAAACAAGCACATTTACTGTTATAGGAGAGACTCCGGTCTCTCTCGCCTTATGGCATGATCCCCTTGTGCTTTGGAAAGAGTCATGGTGTTTTCACAATAACATGGGGATGACCTAGTTAACACACAAACACTACCTTGTAATTTGTTGGCAGGTTTCTTAAGGGCTCATGATGAGACAAGCAGGGGGAGATAGACAATGGGTTGGCAAAAGAAAGAGAAGGGAGAAGAGAAAGTAAAAACAAAATCATGCTCATAGAGGACTGAATCTGTCTGAGGCAGTATTGTGTCTTATCCTCCACAGCCACCTGCAAAGCTCATGTTTGACCAGAAGAGGGCGACAGCATTCTTCAGTCCGTCATCAGGCATCACAGCATCCACCAAGGAGTTGATGTTGATTTAAGTAAACATTTGAGGTATTTTATTATTTTATCTTAGCCTACTTTGAACTCTAACCTTGTACACAATTAATGATAATTTCCAGTTTCCTATATATGCATACTGCCGGATTCAACACATGTTATTGGTTAATTTTGTCTCTTTGTGCTATTTGTCTGTTTTAGTGTCATGACAATTACATGGTGTCCTGAGTGGGATCAAATGTAGACCACAAAGTATTTTGTAGAAGAGCACTTTTGGCAGATTATTTTTGCTCCTGTAAAATGACAAATTTAACTGAAACAAAATCACCCTTTAATAGTAGTTTTCTAGTCCAGTAGACCTACTATTAGATAAGATACAATAAGATAATCCTTTATTAATGCCGCAGTGGGGACATTTACAGGATTACAGCAGCATAGTATTTAGTGCAAAGAAGAGACATAGTAAAAAAACAAGATCAAAACAAGTATTATAAATAAGTAATATAACAGTAAAGAATATTAGATTAATAAAAAAGTAAAAAATCCACAATAACTAAAAAGTTATATATACAGACAGAATAATTGTTATAATTGTTGTGTTGCAATATTATACACAGTGTGTTATATTTATTATGTATTTGTATTATTACAATTTAGAAGCTTCTGACAGTTGTTGGGGTATTTGCAAAGATAGTTTGATAGTAATACAATTTTTTACAGTACTGGAACTAAGTATTATACTTAATTATACTTTAGGAAAGGTTATTATTACTTATGTATTCATGCGTACGCAGCATGTTATAGATAGGGGGAAAACTACTTTATGGATCGTTTGATTCAAAACGCTGCATATTATTTTGTAAGGATTAAAACAACGCTATTTTATTTTGAAATGTAGTAGAGTGGAGATATTAGCATATGATGGAACTGGAAATAGTAAAACTTGTTAACCTACTAAATTGACAGTGACTCAGTGTAACGACGTCCGGTGGTTGGACGTCAGTTATCTTCTTCTATGGTTATCACCGGCGGCAATCAAAGTAAGTTTAAGTACCAAAAGAATAAGGCCCATAAAGAAAGATTAATATTTAGAGTCCAACTAGTATATATTGAACATACTTATTAATTGAAAATGTTTACTATTTACTATTTAACGTTAGCGTAGATTACGCCAAACGTCTTTTCAAATTTACGAACGTTAGCTTAAAGTCACGAGCTAACGTTAGCTTTGGTAATTAGCTACGGGCTAACTGACATTTTGGAGTTGGGGATGACGTAAGTTGTTTCGGCTAATTTGAACAACAATTTTGTCCATTTTTAATAATGTTAATAATGTAATGTTTTCTAGTTGATTAACATGGACTGAAGCTACATAGCTTGTTCTGGTGTCAGTGTACGAAGAGTAATATATACATATATATATATATATGTTTATATACATGTTGTTTTCCTTGATCTCCAGCCCGTCTCTAGAGTGAAGGATGTCATCATTTCCCTCAGTGTGTACAACCTTCCATGTATCCCCTTCATCCAGAGAACACACCTGTGACCTCGGCGGGGTGATTTTGAACCACGGTGGATGTGCGACGATTGATCACGGGCAGATGCTGGGACCTGAGCTCGGTCTGGTGGAGATGTCCGAGGTTGAATACACACACCTCCAGCACCTCATCCAGGCACAAATGGAGGTACACGTTTCCCCTCCAGAGTTACCCGCTGCCAGATCTCACCCAGCTACGGTGATGGTTAAAGACGCCACAATGACTTCCCCCATCGTGACCAATCAAGCTATCGACCTGTCCACTTCAATGGATGAACACCATCAGGTGATGCCAGGAGAAAAGACACCGGCTTCTCACGGAGAGGTCCCGGGTTTCGTGCTGGCCAGAGTCCGAGGTGAAGACAGCCCGACTGAACTACGTGCCAACAGCAGCACGTACTCGCAGACGCGATCCAGATCGGCTGCCAGGGTTTGCTTGGAGAAAAGGTTTAACGCCCTGTCTGCTAACACCCCAAGACAGCAAGATATTCAGTCTGCAGTTCTCAGCAAGTAGGCATCACTCACATAGTCTACTGCTATTTGCTAGTAAATATAGCCCCATAACGCTCATTTTTATGGAATGTGCAAAAATCTCTGTTGTTGTGTTTCAGTTTCTTGACAATGCTTCAGCAGTCTGCAGAGGCTCAAGAGGCGGTCATACACATGACCACTGACAGAGCCGATCCTTTTGAGGTTTCCAGCCCATATGCAGGGGGTGTATTTAACCCAGTCACCAACATGTGTGAACAAGTATGATGACAAACTAAATATGCACCGTCGTACAGCTTGTATAGGAAGCACAGGTAGAATTCATTGTTCAATCCTCTATTTTCCTGTTTCAACCTCAGGTGATTGGCCATAATCCTCATGTGGTTGAACCTAACAATCATCAGGGTTTAGTCATCCCCAAGTTCTCATTTAACTTCTGCCCGGAAAGGGTTGTTACGAAAGCTCACTATACAATAGAGGAGCAGCAGTTGGTGAACACAGGAAGTAATGATCAGTACTCTAAACCCACTCTTTCTTTCATATGTTTTTTTGTGGTTGCTTTGTGTCTTAATTTAGTCTTCTACACTCGTGTTTTTCAAAGATGATGTGGCGACACCGGCTACCTTCAGGAAGCACGGTGGCACCCGCACCTCCCGACCCAGCAAGGCTGCCCCGGACTCAGCCGGAGAATCAGGGAGCAGCACCTCGAAAAGGACCCGATCTCATCTGTCACTGATCCAGCGCAGGGAGGTACACAACAGTAAAGAGAGGAAACGCAGGTGAGTCCCAGTCTGTTACATGGTCTTATGAAATAATAATCCATAAATATAAATGTACTTTTTAATCAGAATTTGATGTTTTCTCTCTGGGTCATAGTCACAGTCATGTATATTCTCTTGGGGTGTGAAATAATGTTAGTATAACAAGTGTGTCTTGCTTAGCTGTCACTTCAGATTGAATTACTCCCTCGTTCACTCACTGTACGCTATTCCCTAATAAACACACAAGCAAGGCTTTTCTTGGTGTGATATGTTTACAATATTTGTGTATATGTACAAGTTTAAGACAAATACAAGGACCGAACATTCCCGAGCTTTGGCTTCTCAGTTGCATGGGTTTGCTGTATTGCTTTGTCTTGAGTGATAGTAATTCAATAATGTAAGGATTGGTCGAGTGGTGGAGGGATTATATACACAGAAGAAACTAAAATAAACTTTCAAAAGACCATAAGGAAATCCAACTTCAACTCCTCCTGCACACGAACCAAAGTTAGTGAATAACGAATTAAGACAATAGAATAACAGTTCTATGCAAAACAACAAACTACTTTTCTTATTGTCATAACATAGAAATATTGACAATATATATGAGCCCCCCCCTACTATAAAGGCTATTGGATGCATTCACTTCCTGTTTGTCAGTTTGGACTCTTGAATCTCTCAATAAAAAGTCATAATATGGTAAGTCATTAAAAAATCTTAGTACATGTCATAAAATGTCAAACATTGTTAAAACAGTCAGTGTAGTATGTCATAAATAAGTCATAGTATAGTCTATGTTAGGATCAGTAATGGGCGGCCCCAGACACAGACTGGAGTGTGGAAGAATGAAGGATTTATTGTAGAGTGATGAGGACGGTGAGAAGCTGAGCTCTGCTGAGCTGATGAGAGTGAGAGCTGCTACGATAGCTCGAGGTCACGGTAACGAGCTGGTGAGTCGGAGGATAATGATTCTGGAGACACGAGGAAACGGGTCAAGTTCAAGTAAATCAAACCGCACAAAGAAATAGCTCATACGCATAAAACAGCGGCCAAGAGCGACGAACAACCAGTGTGGATATGGAGAAGAGTTATGAGTAATGTCATAAAAAGTAATAGCATAGTATGCCATAAATACTCATCATATATGCCATGTAAAAGTCATAGTATAGTATGCCTTAACATGTTTTACAATTTAGTATTTCATGAACATGTCATAGTACAGTAGGCCATGAAAAAGAGCACTATAGTACATCTCACAATATAGTGTGCCATTAGAATAAGTCATAAAAAGTCATAGTATCGTATCTCATTAAAATGTAATTTAAAAGTCAGAGTCCAGTATGTCATAAAGCGGCATTGAAATATATAATATATATATATATATATAATATGAAGCCGGGGACCTTTGTTGCATGTCGTACCCTCCTCTCTCCCGATGTCTCCTGTCTCTCTGCTGTCTGTACTGTCTCAGGCTGCTATTCAGTCAAAATGTCCCCACTGCGACTTGAGACTTTAGCATCTAAGGACCGTGTCAGTAAAGTTTGAGAGACACTGGTAATAACATACATAACGTCTTTGCTTGTGCACAGGAAGATGATTCGTTTGTACTGTGATGAGCTGAACATGCTGGCGCCGTTTTGTGAGTCGGATACAGACAAAGTGACCACCCTGCAGTGGACCACCGCCTTCCTCAGATACATCAAGAAAACATACGGAGACACCTTCAAAGAAGTGAGCTTGTGTTCAGTTTGGCCTCATCCTCCTGCAACGGAATCATTTGAGACTTGAAACCCGGGGCTGCTCTTGCTGCCTGAGTCATAAGTAATGCAGATAAACTTTATTATTTGACTGTGATGGCTCATCTAGCGTTGCAGTCTGTGGTTTTACATGCTAAAAATCTTGGCAGCTAAGTGAAACAATCCACCACATTATGCTGACTGTGTGCAACAACACCACCACCACCTGGAGTAAAGGAGGGGGAGTCTAGATAGACAGACTTAAAATAATAAGGCATCGCTACTATCTGTCATTAGCCACGATCATTTGCTTTACAGGAGTTCCAGAAGACATTCGCTGATGGGAAAGGACGCTTTCTTAAATCCAGCCCTTCTTCAGGCCCGGACCCAATCCACCGGGAGAAGGAGGACACACTGAGCATCCCTCTGGCGGTAGAGCAATGACTCTCTCACTACTTTATCCAACACATCAGCCAGATATCTGAGTACATTTGAACTTAACATGGAAGCCTGTGTTGTCCCAATGAGGCCTGGCTATGGGTGAGGCCAATGTGTTGTCATATTTTAACTGACAAAAAGCATCCTTTTCAGAGGAGCTCTGCTTCTGACTACATAACAGATATTTAGAAGTCTCAGACCACGGGATGCTCAAACATGGCTGGTGTTCTCCAGCTGCATCTCTAAACCACACTGCATCAGGCTGGTGTTTGAAGTGCCATGCCATTTCTTCTTCTGCTGATATATTACCCCCCCCC